CACACACCCTCCCTCGCACCAACACACACACACACACACACACACCCTCACACACACACACACACACACACACACACACACACACACACACACACACACACACACACACACACACACACACACACACACACAGACATACACACACAAACACCCTTTCTCTCTCTCTCTCTTTCTCTCACACATACACCCCCCCCCCCCCCCCCCCCCCCCCCCCCCCCCCCCCCCACACACACACACACACACATCTATTTCCATATAAATCAACATGTATAAAGTTACGTTACGAAAGTTTAAGGTAATGAAGATTATGTCCCAGATTAATCAAAACAATTAATAAATCACAAAATTGGAAGTACTGGCTAATACAAAAAATGTTCCACTTTAAATTGTATTATTATTTCAGTCAAGGAACAATATGAATAATGGAATAAAGAATTGTGTAAGGATTGGTATTGAGTGACTTTTTTGGAGGACAGATAAGCTGCGGTCATGAACAATACTATATCTGCAACTCAGCAGGAATAAAAAGGAATTGGACGAAATCAGCATGGACAACTTTTCACCATGCTGTTTGATAGGCGTGATGATTTCGATTTTCATGCAAGATGTCAAGTGACGGACAGATTCATAGCACAATGTTCAAAGTGTACAGATTGACGAAAATTCTGGGAAGTTTACGGTCGTCATAGTGATCTCATTGAGAAAAATTCTACTTCTTTGTGCAATGTAATGCTGGGCTTGTTTGATACTCGTTCTTTTGCCTGTTGGTTTCGTTGTTGTATACCTTGTTCTCATTTGGGAACGTGGCATTACTTGGGTTGATTGACTAACATGGCGAGTATCATGTTGAAGCAGACATCGCTTACTCTTTTGATTTTACTTACCCCACGTTTTTGCCCCAAAAAGAGTCTTCGTGTATTTTTTCTTTGATATTTTGACCTAGTTTTATCTAATTTGAATTTTGATAATGGCTATGTCCATGCTGTTTCTATTTTCTTCTTGTGTTTTTAAGACGGAGACGTTAGATAGAGAGAATAATTTAATGAAGCCAGTCTGCACCATTTAGTTTGGATCTGTGTGTTATAAAATGTAAATAGACGCTATCATATTGCAGAATAACAGAACGTATAATGTCATTGCTTACTATTGAGGTGTTTCTCTACAAAGGAAACACTATTCTTAGATGTAAACTTATACGTCCTTATCACATCCAATCAGTTTATCAGAATAACTCCTCGTACACCTATACCATGCCTGGCTTCCTAATTTGATTAATCAACAATACAATTATGTTTTTGTAGTATACGTTGTTTCTGTGAACAAGGAACTATGGAGAAGCAAGGGAAAGTGAAAAACGGCCAAATGGCCCCTACAGAGAAGGGTAAGGACGTCTGTGAAATTCTCTATATCTTAATGGGATAAAAATTGCAAATGAAAAAGTTTATTTTCATTATATCCTAAAGGGGATTAGTGAGTTAAGATACATATATAGTCACAGATGTGTTATAACCGTCATAATTGTGAAAAAACAATGACTCCCAAATGAAAGATTTTATAAATAGATGATTGAACAATATCTAATGAACGTTAATCAATTAACATCCATTTGAATTGAATAGTCCTGATCAAAGTATGAACATTTTTTGTAGAGGGAGAAAAACACGTCGTTCGAAATATGGCTATTATTCTCCTGATTGTGGCAGTAGCCATTGCCATAGCTATAGCTATGATAGTATATATAGCAGGTAAGACGTGGCATCGAAAAATAGCGATTGGTTCGACCACCCTCCAGATCTATAGCAAGAATAATGTAAATAGCTTACAATGATTGTACTATTCAGTAATATGTATTAATATTCTATGTTTACGTGTGAGTTATAATGCTAATACTTGTTTCATTATTCTTTCGTTAATGCTCAGTGAAATAAAAAGAAAAGTTTGGTATCTGTTACATTTACATTGTTTTGTGATAAAAGAATTTAAACTCGTGCCTTATGTTAGACAGTATATACATTACTTTTATCTGTCAAACTGACTCTGTGAAGGACGAAGGAAGTGTGTGTTTAAAATTTTTGTTAAAACACAGAACAATATGCTCGATTTCGCTTTTTTTGAAGGCCTGCCCCACACAATTCGAGACGACGGTAACTTTACACCAGTCATTTCAAACGGTATATATATTAATATCTTTTCTTTCGGTAAACCAGATTATCAATGCATTTTTGACGATATTATTTAAAACTTTCAGGCAGTATTAATATTGCTTTATCTAAGATTTGTCAGTTAACGTATATTCAGTTATAAATATATTTAAAAAAAAATTATGCTCAGTGAACTAAAAAGAAACGTGTGGTTTCTTAATCACTTACATTGTTTTGTGATAAAAGAATTTAAACTCGTGCCTTATGTTAGACATTGTGTACATTATTTTTATATGTCAAACTGGCTAAAACCATAATCTTGATACCAAGGATAAAACAAGTTGCAATTGAACTGTCGTGTTATGTAATAACAAAATTCACCTGTTAATCAAGTATTGTGGATTGATGTCAGTTCTGTGAAGGAACTAATGAAGTGTGTATCTAACTTTTTTGTTAACACACAGTACAAAATGCTCGATTTCGTTTTTTGAAGGTCTGCCCCACACAATGCCTGACGACGGTACATCAGTCATTTCAAAAGGTAAATATATTAATATCGGTAAACCAGATAATCAATGCATTTTTGACGATTTTAATCAAAACTTTCAGGCAGTATTAATATTGTTTTATCTCAGATTTGTCAGTTAACATATATCCAATTATAAACGTATTTAAAAAAAAATAAACTAACAACCTAATTTCATTTTAGTAATAAAATGAATTTCAATCGATATTATTTCAATTTCTACGAATGGCTTGGATAATCGGCTGCAGTAATCAAGGAGTGTGTACAGGTATCGTTGTCATCGACCCCTGAGTGGAGCCCCTATCGAATAGATACAGCAGAAGCCATTATAGGTGTGACTTTAGGATATCCGAAAGCATATGAAGAGTATCGTTATGAGTACCAGGCCAAGCTCTACAACATGAATATAGATCTCCTTGCTGCTTTAGGAAAGTACGGTTTTTTTTCTCGTTGTTGGAAAATTATAAGGATGTTTATCTTTTGAATTTTAAGGAGATTTAACATTTCATAATACCGTATTACTATTTTCAATCCTGAAGTAATTTTATTGCATCATCGAGTAAGTGCAAGATACCTTTATTCTCTTATAAAACTCTCTTCTTAGTGAAGTAATATTACTCTTTGGTTATATGCAGTGATTCCGAGCTATCAAGTGTCACGTGGTCACTTGGAAAGTTGGCCCAATACATTAGCGGTATCGTTGTTTCCTGTCAACACGCTATAACAGTAATGTCAATACAGCCTCAATATAACACTCATCACAATAGGTCAATACAGCCTTACTATAACAGTAGGTCAATACAGCCTTTATATAACGGTAGGTCAATACAGCGTTAATATAACAGTAGGTCAATACAGCCTTACTATAACAGTAGGTCAATACAGCCATTATATAACAGTAGGTCAATACAGCCTTAATATAACAGTAGGTTAAACAGCCTTAATATAACAGTAGGTCAATACAGCCTAAATAAACAAGACCATTTCACTGGTAGGTCAACATAGCCTTAATATAACAGTAGGTCAATACAGCCTTAATATAACAGTAGGTCAATACAGCCTTAATATAACATTAGGTCATTTCAGCCTTAATATAACAGTAGGTCAATACAGCCTTAATATAACAGTAGGTCAATACAGCCTTAATGTAGGTCAACACAGCCTTACTATAACAGTAGGTCAATACAGCCTTAATGCCTTACTATCACAGTAGGTCAATACAGCCTTACTATAACAGTAGGTCAATACAGCCTGTATATAACGGTAGGTCAATACAGCGTTGATATAACAGTAGGTCATTACAGCCTTAATATAACAGTAGGTCAATACAGCCTTAATATAACAGTAGGTCAATACAGCCTTACTATACCAGTAGGTCAATACAGCCTTAATAAACAAGACCATCACACTGGTAGGTCAACACAGCCTTAATATAACAGTAGGTCAATACAGCGTTACTATAACAGTAGGTCAATACAGCCTTAATATAACAGTAGGTCAATACAGCCTTAATATAACAGTAGGTCAATACAGCCTTAATATAACAGTAGGTCAATACAGCCTTAATATAACAGTAGGTCAATACAGCCTTAATATAACAGTAGGTCAATACAGCCTTAATATAACAGTAGGTCAATACAGCCTTAATATAACAGTAGGTCAATACAGCCTTAATATAACAGTAGGTCAATACAGCCTTAATATAACAGTAGGTCAATACAGCCTTAATATAACAGTAGGTCAATACAGCCTTAATATAACAGTAGGTCATTACAGCCTTAATATAACAGTAGGTCAATACAGCCTTAATATAACAGTAGGTCAATACAGCCTTAATATAACAGTAGGTCAATACAGCCTTTATATAACAGTAGGTCAATACAGCCTTTATATAACAGTAGGTCAATACAGCCTTAATATAACAGTAGGTCAATACAGCCTTAATATAACAGTAGGTCAATACAGCCTTAATATAACAGTAGGTCAATACAGCCTTAATATAACAGTAGGTCAATACAGCCTTAATATAACAGTAGGTCAATACAGCCTTAATATAACAGTAATATAACAGTAGGTCAATACAGCCTTAATATAACACTAGGTCAATACAGCCTTAATATAACGGTAGGTCAACACAGCCTGAATATAACAGTAGATCAATACAGCCTTAATATACCAGTAGGTCATTACAGACTTAATGCCTTAATATAACAGTAGGTCAATACAGCCTTACTATAACGGTAGGTAAATACAGCCTTACTATAACAGTAGGTCAATACAGCCATTATATAACAGTAGGTCAATACAGCCTTAATATAACAGTAGGTCAATACAGCCTTAATATAACAGTAGGTCAATACAGCCTTACTATAACAGTAGGTCAATACAGCCTTACTATAACAGTAGGTCAATACAGCCATACTATAACAGTAGGTCAATACAGCCTTAATATAACAGTAGGTCAATACAGCCTTAATATAACAGTAGGTCAATACAGCCTTACTATACCAGTAGGTCAATACAGCCTTAATATAACAGTAGGTCAATAGTGCCTTAATATAACAGTAGGTCAATACAGCCTTATATAACAGTAGGTCAATACAGCCTTAATATAACAGTAGGTCATACAGCCTTAATATAACAGTAGGTCAATACAGCCTTAATATAACAGTAGGTCAATACAGCCTTAATATAACAGTAGGTCAATACAGCCTTAATATAACAGCAGGTCAATACAGCCATTATATAACAGTAGGTCAATACAGCCTTAATATAACAGTAGGTCAATACAGCCTTAATATAACAGAAGGTCAATACAGCCTTAATATAACAGGGTCAATACAGCCTTAATATAACAGTAGGTCAATACAGCCTTAATATAACAGTAGGTCAAGCCTTAATAGTGGTCCTTAATATAACAGTAGGTCAATACAGCCTTTATATAACAGTAGGTCATTACAGCCTTAATATAACAGTAGGTCAATACAGCCTTAATATAACAGTAGGTCAATACAGCCTTAATATAACAGTAGGTCAATACAGCCTAAATATAACAGTAGGTCAATACAGCCTTTATATAACAGTAGGTCAATACAGCGTTAATATAACAGTAGGTCAATACAGCCTTACTATACCAGTAGGTCAATACAGCCTAAATAAACAAGACCATAACACTGGTAGGTCAACAAAGACTTAATATAACAGTAGGTCAATACAGCCTTACTATAACAGTAGGTCAATACAGCCTTACTATGACGGTATGTCAATACAGCCTTACTATAACGGTAGGTCAATACAGCCTTAATAAACAAGACCATCACACTGGTAGGCCAATACAGCCTTAATATAACAGTAGGTCAATACAACCTTACTATAACAGTAGGTCAATACAGCCTTACTATAACAGTAGGTCAATACAGCCTTAATATAACAGTAGGTCAATACAGCCTTAATATAACAGTAGGTCAATACAGTCTTAATAAACAAGACCATCACACTGGTAGGTCAATACAGCCTTATTATAACAGTAGGTCATTACAGCCTTAATATAACAGTAGGTCAATACAGCCTTAATATAACAGTAGGTCATTACAGCCTTATTATATCAGTAGGTCAATACAGCCTTAATATAACAGTAGGTCAATACAGCCTTAATATAACAGTAGGTCATTACAACCTTAATATAACAGTAGGTCAATACAGCCTTATTATAACAGTAGGTCATTACAGCCTTAATATAACAGTAGGTCAATACAGCCTGAATATAACAGTAGGTCAATACAGCCTTTATATAACAGTAGGTCAAACAGCCTTAATATAACAGTAGGTCAAAACAGCCTTACTATAACAGTAGGTCAAAACAGCCTTACTATAACAGTAGAACAATACAGTCTTAATAAACAAGACCATCACACTGGTAGGTCAACACAGCCTGAATATAACAGTAGATCAATACAGCCTTACTATAACAGTAGGTCAATACAGCCTTAATATAATAGTAGGTCAATACAGACTTAATGCCTTAATATAACAGTAGGTCAATACAGACTTAATGCCTTAATATAACAGTAAGTCAACACAGCCTTACTATAACAGTCCTCAATACAGCCTCAATATAACAGTAGGTCATTACAGCCTTATTATAACAGTAGGTCATTACAGCCTTAATATAACAGGAGGTCAATACAGCCTTAATATAACAGTAGGTCAATACAGCCTTAATATAACATTAGGTCATTACAGCCTTAATATAACAGTAGGTCAATACAGCCTTAATATAACAGTAGGTCATTACAGCTTTAATATAACAGTAGGTCAATACAGCCTTAATATAACAGTAGGTCAATACAGCCTTAATATAACAGTAGGTCATTATAGCCTTAGCCTTAAAATAACAGTAGGTCATTACAGCCTTAATATAACAGTAGGTCAATATAACCTTATATAACATTAAGTCAATACAGCCTTAATATAACATTAGGTCATTACAGCCTTAATATAACAGTAGGTCAATACAACCTTAATATAACAGTAGGTCATTACAGCCTTAATATAACAGTAGGTCAATACAGCCTTAAAATAACAGTAGGTCAATACAGCCTTAATATAACAGTAGGTCATTACAGCTTTAATATAACTTAATATAACAGTAGGTCAATACAGCCTTAATATAACAGTAGGTCATTACAGCCTTAATATAACAGTAGGTCAATACAGCCTTAAAATAACGGTAGGTCATTACAGCCTTAATATAACAGTAGGTCAATATAACCTTGATATAACATTAAGTCAATACAGCCTTAATATAACATTAGGTCATTACAGCCTTAATATAACAGTAGGTCAATACAACCTTAATATAACAGTAGGTCATTACAGCCTTAATATAACAGTAGGTCAATACAGCCTTAAAATAACAGTAGGTCATTACAGCCTTAATATAACAGTAGGTCAATATAACCTTGATATAACATTAAGTCAATACAGCCTTAATATAACAGTAGGTCAATACAGCCTTAATATAACACTAGGTCAATACAGCCTTAATATAACAGTAGGTCATTACAGCCTTCATATAACACTAGGTCATTGCAGCCTTAATATAACAGTAGGTCAATACAGCCTTACTATAACAGTAGGTCAAAACAGCCTTACTACAATGGTAGAACAATACAGTCTTAATAAACAAGACCATCACACTGGTAGGTCAATACAGCCTTAATATAACAGTAGGTCATTACAGCTTTAATATAACAGTAGGTCAATAGAGCCTTAATATAACAGTAGGTCAATACAGCCTTAATATAACAGTAGGTCATTACAGCCTTAATATAACAGTAGGTCATTACAACCTTAACATAACAGTAGGTCATTACAGCCTTAATATAACAGTAGGTCAATACAGCCTTAATATAACAGTAGGTCATTACAGCCTTAATATAACAGTAGGTCAATACAGCCTTAATATAACAGTAGGTCAATAGTGCCTTAATATAACAGTAGGTCAATACAGCCTTGATATAACAGTAGGTCATTACAGCCTTAATATAACAGTAGGTCAATACAGCCTTAATATAACAGTAGGTCAATACAGCCTTAATATAACATTAGGTCAATACAGCCTTAATATAACAGTAGGTCATTACAGCCTTAATATAACAGTAGGTCATTACAGCCTTAATATAACAGTAGGTCAATACAGCCTTATATAACAGTAGGTCAATACATCCTTAATATAACACTAGGTCAATACAGCCTTAATATAACAGTAGGTCAATACAGCCTTATTAT